ATTATCCTGTCTCCATCATCTCAGATCTTTCATTGGCCCTATTCTTTTTCATGACACTTTAATTCAACTATAACATGCTTAAAGTGGTATATCTGTCGTGACACGACGCCTACAAAAACGCATGAACTTATTTATCCAATCCAGTCCATAGATACTACTTACAAAAGCATACTGTTAAGAAATCTTGACTTACATTATTTACATTATTCGGACTGTTATCCTCATCTTGCCATATTCACAACGTTTCGGCCGTTAAATTGGTTAGATCCAGTGACTAGAAGCCAAAGAGTTCTGAGTTCAATACCAGGCCGCAGCAGTGGTGAACCAAAAATTTGGAGAGTTGAGTCCAAGGGAAATAACTGAGACATCCAGGAAGTGACATGGGACGTAGAATTAGAACAATCTACCCCAGTGGACGAAATAAAGGGTTCGGTTCGAAATTCCAATCACTTGAAGAAGGCCGCAACGTACAACGGCCGAAATGTTGTGAATATGGCAATGAAGATGAGGATAACAGTCCGAATAATGTAAATAACGTAAGTAATCACAATACCTCATCTCAGAGATGTAGACAGACAATCTTAACTTGTTAATAAAATGAAGGTGCATAATCATTTTATGTCGTCGTCTAATGTGCCGTAGGTGATACCCCCTCACGGGCGAATGGATCGAAATCAAAGAGGTCCACTTGCCGTGTCCCAGTTTTGCGTCTGTTCAAACCATTGTACTAAGTCCGAGGTGTCCATTATTGTCTGTCGCCTATCGAAGTAAGGGTAGGGGTTTGGTTCCTTTCTTCCAGATGACACGCCAGGTGAATTTGTTTTTAAAATTACTTTCTTCTAGCCTTTTACCGAATGTGGCGGGACCTATTTGCATCAGATGGAGTGAATTCAGTTTATTCTTCTCCTAGAGTGATTGCCAAACAAGGCTATAGCTCCCATGTCTGTCGTGATAATTACCCATAGTTGAGGGTAAGATATGGATCCATACCTTTCTTAAGGGTAATAGCACTAGTGAATGCAATGTACTCGACTGTACTCGACTGGAATTCGAACTCGGCTCTCCGATTCCTTAATCCGAGCCGCTATTCTTACTTCGCAGTGCTTTTTATGCAGTTGGTTCAAAATTTTTGCACGTAATATCTAATCTCCGATATGATAGTAACTTCTTGAAAATTTCACAGAATACCAGAATAAATGGTAGATCAAGGACTAAGATGAATGGTGGAGGACTAAAAAAGTATTTAGAGCAACAAAAGAGAATAAGTCGCGAAGAGCCATGATCACCCCTCCTATAACAATTTTTACCGTATTTACCAAAGCTACTTTGAAAACTCTGTATTAGTTCGTTTAAACCTTGGAACCCTGGCCACCGCTTTACCAGTGGTAGAAAAAAAATGACGTAATGCCCACCCATCGGTTGAACAGTGGTAGAGAAAAATGACTTAATGTCCAGCCGCCGGTTGAACGGTGGGTAAACACTTGTAACTATTTTTATATCTAACGTGAAATATTACATACCAATTACTTGCGAATTTTGACACAGGAGCACAGGCAGAAGGGTTAAAGTTGTTCAGGAACGCAGAGCTCAAAGGGTTAAAATCGACGTTAGACTGTCTCGCTCGACGGGAAATTGCAACACAGAGCGACTTCCGAGTTTGGACTGGTTGGTAACGATGTGCCTGTTGGTGTAGGTCGGTGGAGATAGTTGTGTTGGGTGGATGGGCAAAATCATACGCTACGTAAAAAATCAAAACAAACAAACAAAAAAAAAAATAACAAAAAACAAAAACAAAAAAGAAAACGGGGAAGTCGGTGTCGAGGTTTTTGAGAAAGACGCGATGAGTACGTTCGTGTGATTGAATAGCGGGCATTGTATTAGGTTGGTGCAAAAATAATGACGTAAGAATGTCGTTTTTGACGTTAAAAATACGTCAAAAAACGACATTATTACGTCATTATTTTTGCACCAACCTAATATTACAGTTGGAATTATGCGTTTGACAAGACAGGTGTGCGCAAGGTAGAAAAAAAAAAAGAGGGAAGTAGGAATGCTAGGGAGCTGGAATCAGGGGTGGGGCGGGAGGATAGATGATAGAGAGAAAGACGACGTCTGTAGATTGGGTAGAAGAGAAAAAGTAAGAAGTTTCAGTTGAGGTTAATAATGAGTCAGCGGAAGGAAAAAATCCAAGAGAATGAATGAAATAGATAAAAAGAATTCATAATAGAAGAGAGAAAGAAAGAAAGAATGAAACGCTCATTCGGACACACACATATATTTACGGACTTCGAGGTCACACCGAGGCGGTGTAATGGTTGGCAATTTTGTCTCGTTAGAACAATAACGACTGAGTAGTGAGTTCAATCCTCACTGGGTACCACATACTTTCGGCCTTGTGCCACATCTAAGCTACGCTTGGAAAACCACTATATTTATGGACTTCAAGATGGTCTCTAATGGTGAGCAAGCTTGTTTCGCTATATCACTGACTTCGATCCTCACCGGGTTGTTCCTTACTTTTAGCCTTGTGCCACAACTAAGTTTCGTTTAGGAAATTACTTTGTGGCACTTCAGCGTGGTGTAATGGTTAGCAACATTGTCTCGCGTGATCACTTACGACTGAGTAGTGAGTTCGATCCTCACTAGGTGCCACTTACTTTCTGCCATAACTAAGCTACGCTTCTTAAAAGGTCACTTCGATTTGGATGTAATGGTTAACAAGCTTGTCTCTATACTTTTGGTATTGTGCCACATCTAAGCTACGCTTAGTAACTTGCCATATATTTATCACATACACCTACGCGCGCGATCGCATACACAGAGTCACACACACAGACATATATATATATATATATATGACAATTTATTGAATAGTCAGATTAAGTAAGAAGAAAAAAGTAGGAAGAAAACCATCAGCGAAAAAATTGTTAAAATGCTACAAAAATAAATAGAAAAATAAATGAATAAAAGTAAAAAAAACAAAAACCGATAAAAGATGGCATTGCTTTAAATGATAATGAAAAGATGGGGGCAAAAACGGAAGGTGGACATGGAAAGCAATAAGAAGAGAAAGTCATAAGAAAAAACAAATATGGCTGTCGTAAGTAGAATCAAGGGAGAGAATTCAGGAAACATTGGTTCGATAAATGCTTCAGGCGTTATGTTCTCGTCTGTATGTAGACGCATTCCATCATTCACTCTCTCTTCTCTCCTCATTCCCACACATAAACACACACATACACACGCACTTGTAGTCAGCAGCTGCTACTGTTTGTGCTTATCTGGAAACCTCCCAGGTCTCGATACATATAGGAACGTTGGGTCTGTTCATAGGAGGAGAGTCTACTGGGACTTTGGTATGGCACCAGTCCAAGACTATTTTGGCGATATGGGCCGCCAGCAATGAAGACCTTCCCGAGGTTGGTTGTAAGTGACCAGTGCGAGGGCGCAACTGGAGGAGCGTTTTTAAAGAGGGACGGGTTACTTTTAGGGCAATTCAGAAAAGAGACAGGGGTGTGCTGTGAGTGAAAAGAAGTCCAAACTGACAAGGGCAGCAATGTTCGTTTTCTGATTCAGGAATCAAGCTGCTAATAGACTGGCCATACTTGGGGATGTGCAAAGTGCAAAGTGCAAAGGTAAGCGACTCACTGGCGTTTTATACGAACAAGACTGAATCATAATAATAACAGAAACACACCATAGAGTGTGGCATAGACCAAACCCTAGTTTCGTTCGCAGGGCTTCTTCTAGTCGAACGAGTACGGCTTGATACAAAGAAAATAATTCTTCGGATGGATCGTTACTCAAGAAAAAACACCCACGAGACGAAATTGTAGAAGTCGGCAAATTTTATTCAGTTGCAACCTTCTCGTAAGGGCCGGCTGTAGACGAGAGAAGAAAAGTGAAGTCCTTTCACGTGGCAGAGAAGCGTTTCTCTGGTTTAGTCTGCTAGGTCCATTGTCTAATAGAGAACAAGCCATCTTTGTCTAAAAACATCATTCATCTGTTTTTATTCCGCTCTACTCAGCTGAACCTCTTTGTCAGAACGATGTCAAAACAATTTCTGTAAGATCCTGCAGATGTGTCCTTAATAAGATATCAACTGACAACTGATATCGCTATAAGGAAAATAGAACGCGCTTATTTCAAGTACTGACTATAAAACTGTTGTGTTCCGTGTCGTTACTTGATTTCAACGCTACTGCATATACAGCATCAAAGAAAAGACTTCATAGGAAAGATAACGAAGTAATTTTCCTATTACCTTCTGTGCAGTTGTGAATTCAGAGTAATCCTTCTAATCTGGTTACCATCCAGTGACAGAGAGTCCAGTCTACTCTACTATTTAATCCATAGCCGGAAGTGGAGAAGAAATGGATTTATATTTTTCTCAAATGTATTAATGCGAGCAATCGAGTCATATCTAGACACACATATGGATGCCATGTATGACGACCATGTCATATTCGCGTATTGGGGGTCAAATAATGCTTTTTGCTATCATGAAAACGGAATATTTCATTTCTAAAAAAAGGGAGATCGAGCTACGTGACCGATAAATATATAAAATGACATTGTGATTTACTTTTTATTATAGGACTGAAAATAGGGCAACTACAATTCAGTCCGCACCCCCCCAGCATTTTAAAATTATTTCGAATTTTGTGTGTGTATAAACGTGCAGATTTTTGAAAATACGGGCGCCCATACACGACATTATCAGAAAATAAGAGCGGTAACTATAGCAAATTTAAAACCAAATTATCCCCAAATCAATAAAACGTTAGATGACAGGAGAATATTTTCCTAAATTTTTAAGATTGTTTGGTAGTTAAGAAATTATATAAAAAGGCGCTCAGATTACATTCGTCAAGTAATTTTTACAGATATGTTCCCAGTAGAAAAAAATATTTAAATTTCCGGCTGTCAATAAAGCTGTAAGGTTCACAATAAAGCTTTTAACACCGCATAAAAATCTACCACGTTGTTAAAAATGCATTTCTGCGAAATTTTAAGCTAAAAGCAAGTAATATTTGTTTCAAATCAGATTAATTAAACTTTAAATCAGCTAATATTTGTCAAATAAAGTTTCAGAAAAGTATATTTTATTTTTGAAAGATATTTTAATAAAGAGAATTACATTGTGTTGAAAGATGTCTAAAACGAGCAACTTTAATGATTTTTCAAAAATAAGAAAAGATTCCTTCCAATCAATTTAAATTTGTTTTGAAATATTGAAAGTTATTTTATGAAATTTCGTCTATTAGCCTCAAGAAAGATTTTATATTTTCTTTCCTGTATTAAAAACAAAAACTAATTTAAACTGACTTGAAGCAGTTTTTTTTTGCTAAAATATCCGATTAGCGCCTTTTTTAGTCGTCTTTCAACACCATGTAATTCTCTTTATTAAAAAAAAAATCTTTCAACAATAAAATATACTTTTCTGAAATTTTATTTCAGGAATATTAGCTGATTTAAAGTATAATTAATCTGATTGGCAACAACTATTCTTTACTTTAAGTTTAAGATATCGTAGAAATGTTTTTTTTTTTTAACCAGACAGTTGCTGTTTATTTAAGATATTCGTGGGTTTGATATTTATGAAATGTTCTGTAGGGACTTGAGGCGTTAAAAAGTCATTGAATATAACGTGAGCGCCATTTATATATAATTTTTAAGTATTCAGTAATCTTAAAACTTTATGAAAATATTCTCTGGAATCTAATTTTTTATTGAAATTTAAATATTTTTGGCTGTAAATTTACTATAGTTATCGGTCTTATTTTCTGACAATGTAGTGAATAGTCAACCTAACAGCACGTTTATACACATAATATACATGTATATTAGAGCCGTTGGTGTCTGTTAGATTTTAAATAAGCCCACTTCGAGTCGATCTCTCTTTACACATAGTTTGGTCTTTCATTCTAACCAGAAGAAGCAGAAGGCAACAGATGTTCGGCGAAACGCGTCGTTTAAAGATTTTTCCCATTTGTCATATTCACTTTTGCTTCTGATGCTATGTCTTGTCATATCCACTTTTGCTTCTGATGCTATTATAAATCCTACAAACACACATAAGTCCGATTCTATTTACATTATTCGAACTATTGTCCTTATCTTTGTCACAACGTTTCGGCCGTTGTACGCTCTGGCCTTCTTCAGTAGACCGGAGCGTACAACGGCTGAAACGTTGTGATAAACATGGCGACAAAGATGGGAACAATAGCCCGAATAATGTAAAACGTGTACATAATACCTGATCTCAGAAATATAGACAGATACTGAAGTTTGATTCTATTAAAAATTGTTATTTTGTCCTGAGGAGATCTTTTTTCTTAACGAAATGCATTGCCCGACAGATTCCAAGTTCTTGTTTATATACACATTTAAAATTCTAAAGTTTATACAACTATTTAACTTTTATAGACACTAAAAATTACAGCAACACTTGAAAGCCGAAAACAAGTGATGCGTCATTGTGGTAGGCCATCCTCTCCGAGTTTGTTATTTGCAGGGTCTAAATCCAAGCGCCTGAAGCAGTGTCATGGCGTGGAGAATAAAGAACATGCAAAACACACACATACAAAAAATTGATAATATAATAACTACACGGCATCTCTAACAGAAACATGGACATATTTGTATATTTTCACTAGATAAAATAATTACAAATTGGAGATACTAAAATGAAACCATTAAAATTTAAATATCTGGGAAGTGTTTTAACATAGGACGGAAAGAGCGACACTGAAATCCGAAGGAACATTGGAATAGAGAAAGATGTCTGACAAAAGTTAAGCAAAGTATTAAGAAACAAGAAAATTTCGTTAGAAACAAAGAAAAGGGAACTGAACTGTTACGTAATATCGGTCCTCCTATATGATACTGAATACTGGACAATGCCCTCAGAGATAAAGAAGAAGCAACAGACATGTGATTCTACAGAAGGATTCTGAGGATTCCATGGACTGAAAATGTGAGTTTTTGGGAAAAATTAAAACAAAAAGAATACTTATACTTAACATCAGAAAGAAACAGTTTCTACGGTGCATAATGAGGAAAGAGGGACTGGAAAATTTGTTACTCACATGACAGATTGAAGGCAAGAAGAGCAGACGAAAGCTACGCATAACTGTTGGAGCATACTTACGAACGATAATGGGTATGTCCCCATTCACATAAATACAGTAGCAAATACTATATGTTGGTCGAGAGTTGGAGATTCATTGGGGAATTCACTTGACTCCTAGCAGTTGACTACTACATCTACACGCCGCTGGCGAATCATATATCAGTTGTTCTTGTCCTAAGTATTATCGTTCATTACCAACCTTCGCTTGATTATTCTATTCAGTAACCTTCCCTAGGTTACAGCAATAACATACCTCACGATCTTGAGTAAATGGATGGCAGAACATGGTTTAGAGGAGATAAAAAAGAAAACATTTATTAAAAGCTACAGAGGACAGGATATTGCGGAGAGCTATGATTACCAACGACCTGAAGGGTCACGGCACATAGAAGAAGAAGAAGAAGAAGAAGAAGAAGAAGAAGAAGAAGAAGAACAAAAAATTATATGAAGATATATATTAAGCCTATTATAGTCTGAAGCAAAAAGATCTCTTAAACAAAGTTGTAAAAGACAGTAAGAAGAAAGGAATGTTTATTTGCTTTGAATGTTTTGTTGTCAGCAAAAAAAAACAAAAAAAAAAAAAACGGACCAAGATTTTTACACATTTGTTCCCCCAATACAATGTCCAAGAATCATTCAGGGTAGAGTTCCATTGAATGAGGTTCTTGTGTGGTCGCAAGGGATGGAATTAAGTACAGATGATGAGAATATATAGGGTAGATAATAATTGGCCCTAGACTATCGTGAACTCATCCCGTGAGTCTCTTCCACAAATAGCGGCTCTTGAGTAGATGTCCGAATAAAATTCCTTTCTTACCAATAGAATACAATGTGTGCGAGTGTTAGTGTGTATATATATATATATATATATATATATATATATATATATAACGTTTAAAAAGGCACTATCCAGACGGGCTCAATCACAAATTTAACAATATAGATAGTATTAATATATAACCCCACAAACCAGGACCTACCCACCTTTCTCATCCACACA